AAACATTGTGGTGTTTTGAAATTTAATATAACACATTCAGTGGTGTCTCTCCCAACCTTTTATTCCCCACTATCGTTCTTTCTTTTTAGATGTTCTTTTTGTAATGCTCCCCCACCCCACCACTCCATAAAACTTTAATACCAGATAGGCTGAGTATCTATGAACCATGGAGGACCACAAACTTTTGTAACAACTAAGATTACTTTACACCATCCCCGAGAGCTAATTTTCCCCCCTTGTGGGTGAGCTCACCCCATGGAAAATGCAGGCTTTAAATAATATTAAATAACAAATCTTCCTGTAAGAACTCACTGTGTGCTGGTCATATACTGTTCTGGGTACTTTATGTACATTTACTTGTTGACTTATCATAACTCTCCTATGAGGTTGAGTCCTAGAGAACTTTTATCTGCATCTTAACAGTTGTAGAAACTGAGGCACAGAGAGGTTAAGTCATTTGTCCAAGGTCACTCAGCTGGGAAGCTGCAGAGAGCCCAGGCAGCCTGGTTCCACAGCTCACACTTAACCACCAAGCTGTGTTGCCTTAAGACAACACATTCTAACTGTAAAAAAATTCAAACTACAGAAATGGAGTGTGCGGGTCTTTTGTCTCTAAAAAAATACAGAAATAGAGTAAAAGTTACACTTCCTAGGCCCCCCTCATCCCCAGAAACAATCTTTGGCACAAGTTTGGAATGTGTCTCTCATCTGGGATTTTACATACATGTTTACATATATGAAAATATATTGCCTCTTTATTTTAATATAAGTAAAATCATTCAGCCTTTCCCCCATATATTCATATGAATAATACATGCCCATGTATAGAGTTTTATAAAAATTAGGATCATACTGAACATATTCTTATTTGATTTAAATGTGTATCATTAGCTGCTTTGAGACCATAATTCAGTAAGTGCATATTTTATTTAACCAGATCCAGACTACTGGCTGTCTAAATAGTTTCTAGTTTTTCACTACTATCAAGTTATGATGAATATCCTTGCCCTGTACATAATTCTTAGAAGTTGGAATGACAGAGCCTGAGGGTATAAACATTTTTGAAACTTTTGATCCCTAAATGCCAAAACTTGCCACCCAGAAAAACCCATCCCAACACCCTCACCCACACTGAGTATTAGTGCCTGTTTTCAGACATTGACAAGAGGCCAAAAATGTGTTCATTCTGACCTTTTCATCTCTGCCCGTGTCCCTCATCAGGGGCCTGTTGTACTCATGTGACAGCACAAGGCAGACCTTGAATTGAGAATGAATGAGAGTGCTCGCTTCGGCAGCACATATACTAAAATTGGAACGATACAGAGAAGATTAGCATGGAAGATGGTAATGATAACCCTATACGCAAAACAGAAAAAGAGACTCAGATGTATAGAACAGACTTGTGGACTCTGTGGGAGAAGGCAAGGGTGGGATGTTTCAAGAGAACAGCATCGAAATATGTATATTATCTAGGGTGAAACAGATCACCAGCCCAGGTTGAATGCATGAGACAAGTACTCGGGGCTGGTGCACTGGGAAGACCCAGAGGGATCGATCGGGTGGAGAGGGAGGTGGGAGCGGGGACCGGGATGGGAAATACATGTAAATCCATGGCTAATTCATTTCAATGTATGACAAAAACCACCGCAATGTTGTAAAGTAATTAGCCTCCAACTAATAAAAATAAATGGGAAAAAAAAAGAGAGAGAGAGAATGAATGAGAGCAAGGAGCCAGTTTGGGTAATGTGGCCACAACACTGCTTTAATAAACAGGTTGTCAGCCTCCTGGTTAAGAGGCCTGGCTGTCCAACCCTGAGCAGGTGCTCAGTAAATAGTTTCTTCATCTCCCCTGCTTCCAGCACAAGGCTCAGGCTGCACCTCTCTACCACTGAGCCCCCCAGGTCTGACCTTTGTCTCCAATCCATTTGGCAGCACCAAGGCATTCCTCGGGCTGCGAAACCCCTCATCCTTCCCTTCACTGGTCGTGAGTGATGTGAGAAGCACACAGCCTTGTGTATACAGTAGGCTGTTAGCAGCTGGCCTCACTGCAAGTGTCTCCAACAGGATTCTTGTTCAGTGTTCTGCATGCACACACATGCATGGTCCTACACCAACACATGGGCATGTGTGTGCATGTATGTACGCACTTGTGTCCACCCATATAGTATAGCACATTCAGGAGGCAGACCCTAATGTGTGAAGTGGGTCTTCTCTCTCACGAGATTCTCCATATGCCCTCCAGCCTGAGTTAGGACCCCCGGCTACCTAGTGCCACAGTGCCTGTACTTTCTTCTCATTATTTTTTTAATTTTTTAAAATTTTATTACTTTATTTTTAGCTGTGGGTCTTCAATGGTTTTATTTTGTGGGTCTTCAATGCTGCAGGGACTTTAGTTGCAGTGAGACAGGGCTACTCTAGTTAATGTGGCAGGCTTCTCATTGCAGTAGCTTCTCTTGTTGCAGAGCCAGGCTCTAGGGCACACGGGCTCAGTAGTTGTGGCTCCTGGGCTCTAGAGCACAGGCTCAGGATTTGTGGCCCACGGGCTTCGTTGCCCCATGACACGTGGGATCTTCCTGGATCAGGGCTCGAACCCATGTCTCCAGCATTGGCAGGCAGATTCTTGACCATTGAGCCATCAGGGAAAGCCTTTTTAATATTTTTTAATGTGATAAAAGTCACATAAAACATACGGTTGTAACCATATTTAACTATGCAGTTCAGTGGCACTAAGTACTTTCACATTGTTGTGCAGTTCTCACCATCATCACCATCACCTATCTCCCGAATTTTTCATCTTCTGAAACTGAAACCCTGTCCCCATTAAACACTAAGTCCCCATTGGCATCTACCAATGTACTTTCTGACTCTATGAATTTGACTCTTGTAGGTAGCTTATATAAGTGGAGTCAGGTGGCGCTAGTAGTAAAGAATCTGCCTGCCAATGCAGAGATGTAAGAAATATGGGTTTGATCCCCTGGAGGAGGGCATGGCAACCCACTCCAGTATTCTTGCCTGGAGAATCCCAACAGAGGAGACTGGTGGGCTACAGCCCATGGGGTCCCAAAGAGTCAGACATGACTGAAACAACTTAGCTCCCAATGTATATTGGAATGCCTTAAGATTAACTTAATATATGTCCTAAAAACAGATTATGCCTTATTTTTTTTCCTCTCTTTCTTCCTACTTTATTGTTATTCCCTGTGGACTGTTTTCCTGCTAGCCTGAAACCTCCCCACTAATCTTTAACTTGTTCATCAGTATTTCTCTAGTACTGAACACTGCTTAGCAGGTACATGTGAAATATTTGTTAAGTGGGAGAAGAAAAAAGAAGGAATGGACTTCAAGCTGATAGAGGATATTATCCCAATTATTTTTAGAGTATTTTTGAACAAAGTGGCCAGTTTCAGATGGAGCCCAGTGCTTGATGAGAAAATATCTCGGCAGCATCAGATTTCACGTGGCCTGGTTAACCGTCTTTTTGCAAGGAGCGGAAAGAATGTGGAATGGCAAATAGGACCCTGGCCATCTAAACAGCTGTAAAGTTTTACTATTCTGCAAAGATTGCTGTAGCAGGGATAATGTATTGCGGAATAATTAGCCAGGAGCCTCACTCGCTGGTCCTCCAGCCCCCTGAAAAGTGTTCTAATCTCAAACCTTCAAGTCACTGGCTTATCAGGCTCCCTCTCCCTGCCAGCAAATTGTTATGGACTCCCAGCTGACTGATCCCATGAGCCAAAGGTCTCGGAGCTGCTTCACAGGAGAGGGTTTTTCATCCAGCTGGGCACAACAGCTAAGATGATGGATGTGCAGGTTTCTGCCCCTTTAAGAAAAGCAAAACTCAGAACTTCCCTGGCAGTGCAGTGGTTAAGACGCCCTTCTCGCATACAGGGGGCGCAGATTCCATTCCTTGGTCGGGGAACTGAGATCCCGCATGCCACACATGCTGTGCCAGACAAAAATAAACAGAAAAGCACCCTTTAAGAGAGAAGGAAAAAAAAAAAGGTAAAACTCCATGTGGCTGAAAAGAAGCATGCCTGCAGGACAGCTTCATCTGGCTATTTCATTCATTTGATTCAGCAGGCATTGGGGGAGGGAGGGTGCTGCTATGTTCCAGAAGCAGAGTGAAAAAGATGTGGTTCCAGAAAGAAAGAGATTTGCCACAGAAGATGCTGGGGGCTTGCGGGAGACACAGAAGGGTAGCTGAGCAGGGTTGATCAGAGAAGGGCAGAAACGCTGGAGGGAGTTTGCGAAGGGGGGCAAGGTGCAAGATGAGTGGGAGAGGCAGGGTCAGGTTGAGCACACCACAAGCAGGATTCCAAGGAGCCTGGATTTTTGTGCTGCTGACAATGGGAAGCCACTGAGGGTGGTGAACACATCACAGAAGGCCCCTTCAACTGGGTCATATCATGACTGATGCCAGTCAACCAGGCAATATTGACATGGCTCAGGCAGGCCATGGTTCACTCTCGCTGTAGCTGGTGAGAGGGTGAGATTGTACTGCACTTCACTAAATCCCACAAAATATCTGGATGACCTGCAACTCTGACCTTTCTGGCCTCCTGCAGGGAAAGGTCTGGCTTCTCCTTTTCTGGTGGGGGAGGCAGATCACAGAAGGGGCATGAGCACGTAAGACATCTGGAATGCATCAGAGGCGAGCCCAGCCCGGACCATGACTCAGTCCTGCCTCCCCCTACCCACCCCCCTGCAACCCCCCCCGCCCCGCCCGTATTCAGGAGCACAGCCACCGCATTCAGCAGAGCGCCTTGAATCAGAAATGACTTTGCTCTCTCCTCTCTGTTTTCCTCGCAGGCCTCCTGGACACAGCCGTCCACACAGGATGCCTCACGTTGGCTTGCAACCATCCCTCGAGAGTCCAGCTGCCGTTTTTTTAGTGTGGCACTAGGGCTTTCGTTCAGGCTTTCGTTTTGTTGCAGCTGCTACTTTTTATTTATTTATTTTCTCTCTTTGAACCTGGACTTTGCCCCACTCCTGCTGGCATGATGGCCCAGTCCAAAGCCAACGGCTCGCACTATGCGCTGACCGCCATCGGCCTTGGGATGCTGGTCCTTGGGGTCATCATGGCCATGTGGAACCTGGTCCCTGGGTTCAGCACTGCGGAAAAGCCGGCTGCTCAGGGGAACAAGACAGAGGTAGGAAGCGGCATCCTTAAGAGCAAGACCTTCTCTGTGGCCTACGTGCTGGTCGGGGCCGGCGTGATGCTGCTTCTGCTCTCCATCTGCCTGAGCATCCGGGACAAGAGGAAGCAGCGGCGGGGCGAGGAGCTGGCACACATCCAGCACCCGGGGGTCGAACCACACGCCCACGAGGAGGACAGGTGAGGATGGCCAACTGGACCCAGATAGGGAATGGACACACACACCCACATGCATACCCACGGGCTCAAGGCTCAACGATGGTGAGAACATTTTAATCTAAGGGGCTGTCTCCCATGACCGCTTCAGTGAAACAGTTCATTGTTTTACAAATGACTTTATCTTTTGATCCCAGAGTTTCCCAAATAATACGGTTTGAATGGATGATTACAGTTGTGTCAAGATTTTGACACACACCCCCAGGGGACCTGCATGGCACCTGGGGTGGCCAGAGCCTCCCCACTGGAAGTTTGTCCATTTACCCAGTGCCCTGGATGTTTATGCTTTGAGTTGAAAGGTTGGGAAGCTAGGTTCTATTTGACCAAAAATGCTACGAACACATTTAAAAAGCAATTGCTAAATTGGGGGCATAAGATAAAAGTTGATACACCAAGTATAAAAAGAGCGCTACTGTGTATAAAATAGATAACTGATGAGAACCTACTATATAGCATGGGGTGGGGTCGGGGGAAGAAGGTACAGTCTGTTTGTAGGACAGATATTAAGTTAACCTTAAAAATGCATTCCAATATACAGCAAATGCAGACAAATACTGTTTGATTCCACTTATACAAGGTACCTAGAATAGTACCTCACATTCATAGAATTAGAAAGTACATTAGTAGATGCCAGGGCCCAGAGGTTGGGGAGGTGGGAGATAGGGGTAGGGATGGGGAATGGAGACTTAGTGTTTAATGGGGAGAGTTTCAGTTTAGAGAGGTGGAAAATTTGGGAAATGGATGATGGTGAGACATGCACAACACTGTGAATGTACTAGTGCCACTGAAATATACAGTTAAAATATGGTTAAAATAGTATGCTTTATATTATGTGACTTTTATCACAATAAAAAAAATTTTTTTAAAGATCCCTTACAAATGAATGTTAAAGAACACACAGTTGAAAAATGGACCAAGAATACAAACAAGCATTTCATAGACATTCAAATGATAGTTGTCCAGTCTCATTAGTCAGGAAATACAAACAACCAACAAAAGGCATTGTAATTCTTTGCCTACCTACTGGCCAAGATAGACTGTCCTCCGGGTTAAAGATTTGTAAGGAAGTGAGTTGCTAATGAGGGGTTGATTGACATAACCTTACTGAAGGGGAATTCACTGTAACTGGCCATTTTAAAGATGTGTGCACCTATCAGTTCTCTTCCTAAGAGCTTATCTTTGAGACACAGTCACACAAGTGCAAAGGGGTCTGTACTCATAGATTTATCAGAGCCTTGCTGAAAATAGCATAGACATATGTGACAACTAAATATCCATCAGTCAAGCTAAATTATAACATGCCCATTCAGTAGAATTCTCTGCAGCCACTGCCAATCTATATTTGCTAATGTGGATCTGTATCTCTGAGAAAAGGTTTATAACACAGCATGTTAAGGTCTTCATCACATCAGACATTGTGGCTATGGGACTAGAGAAGGATCTGGAAAGGTGTATAGCAAAATGTTGTTATTGTTCAGGCACTAAGTCGTGTCCAACTCTTTGCAACCCCGTGGACTGCAGCACATCAGGGTTCCCTGTCCTTCACTGTCTCCCAGAACTTGCTCAAACTCATGTCCATTGACTCAGTGATGTCACCAACCATCTCATCCTCTGTTGCCCCCTTCTCCTCCTGCCATCAATCTTTCCCAGCATCAGGGTCTTTTCCAATGAGTCAGCTCTTCACATCAAGTGGCCAAAGTATTAGAACTTCACCATCAGTTCTTCCAATGAATATTCAGGGCTGATTTCCTTTAGGATTAACTGGTTTGATCTCCTTCCTGTCCAAGGGACTCTCAAGAGTCTTCTCCAACACCACAACTCAAACGCATAAATTCTTCGGTGCTCAGCCTTCTTTATGGTCCAACTCTCACATCCATACATGACTACTGGAAAGATCATAGCTTTGACTATATGGACCTTTGTTGGCAAAGTGATGTCTCTGCTTTTTAATATGCTGTCTAGGTTTGTCATAGCTTTTCTTTCAAGGAGCAAGCGTCTTTTAATTTTGTGACTACAGTCACCATCCACAGTGATTTTGGAGTCCAAGAAAATAAAATCTGTCACTGTTTCCACTTTTTATCCATCTATTTGACATGAAGTGATAGGACCAGATACTATGATCTTAGTTTTTTTAATGTTGAGTTTTAAACCAGCTTTTTCACTCTCCTCTTTCACCCTCATCAAGAGGTTGTGTAGTTCCTCTTCACTTTCTGCCATTAGGTATCATCTGCATATCTGAGGTTGCTGATATTTCTCCCGGCAATCTAGAGAGTTGTTTTTATTTTGGAAAAATTAAACAAATTTTCTGAAAGTAAAAGATAATCAAGCATATTCTAGAAAACTTGGGAAATACAAAAAAGAACAAAGGAAAACTAGTCATCCATCATTAAAGTTATGACCAAGTCACTTGACCTCAATGTATCTGTTTTCCCATCCATAAAATGAAAAGTGTTAACCTCCCCTGCCTTTTAGCCTCATATGCTAACAGCATGCCAGGTGGGCTATTCTGATGCCCAGATGGGCGTCCTTTGACCATAGACAACATAAACATACATGAAACAGGTGTCAATTTGAAGCAAAGTGGTTGTTCCTGGGTAGAGAAAGAATATCTGGAATATAAAATTTACATGTATCTCCAATTATTCTGTAATTTCCCATCCATAAAATGCGTATACCAATATTGGGTTGGCCAAAAAGTTCATTTGGGTTTTCCATATTATCCAATGGAAAAAACCCAAATAAACTTTTTGACCAACCCAACAGTACCTAACTCATAGTGTCTTTAGGAAGATGACATTAGTTTATACATACTTAGAACAGTGTCTGGCTTGTAGCCAACAGGTGAAGTGAGGAAGTCTTATTCCTCCTTAGATACACCTGTTTTTAACAAGGCTGGTATACTGGGTCCCAGTGGCAACATGTGGTCTGGGATCCATCTCTTCGTGATTGTAAGTGACTCAAACACATGCTAATCCTCTCATGTCTGTGCTTGCTGTCTTGCAGCCAGGAGGAGGAGGAGGAGGCCTCCTCACGGTACTATGTCCCTAGCTACGAGGAAGTGATGAACGCAAACTACTTGGAAACAAGGGATGCGGACCAGAACCCCCGGATGAGCATCTCTCTCCCCTCATATGAGTCCTTGACGGGGCTGGATGAGACGAGCCCCACCACAACCAGGGCCGACGTGGAGACCAGCCCAGGGAACCCCCCCGACAGGCAGAACTCCAAGTTGTCCAAACGCCTGAAGCCGCTGAAAGTGAGAAGGATAAAATCCGAAAAGCTTCACCTCAAAGACTTTAGGATCAACCTGCCAGACAAAAACGTGCCTCCTCCCTCCATCGAGCCCTTGACACCCCCCCCACAGTACGATGAGGTCCAGGAGAAGGCCCCTGACGCCCGGCCCCCCGACTGACGGCCCCTCCCAGGCGGATTCCCTCCTGTTTCTCATCCTCTGCACCAACAGACCCTGAATGAAGCCACTTCAGCCACAGTTGAGAAGCGGAGGGGCCAGGTGTGTACTTAGCTATTTGGATGGGGCCAGGAGCTGAGGGCGTTCTAGGACTGGGGAGTGACTCTGCGGTCCTTAGGACCTCCAGTCACAGGTGCATTGGAAAGAGCTGCTGCCTCAGATCTTGTGAAGCTGTGACCCCATCCAGGGAAGCAGTGCCGGCATCTTCCCCTTTGTCCTTCCTTGACATTGAATTGCTGGGGACAATACTACTCCTTCTACTTAGGAAAGGATACGTAGCAACTGGCTTAGATCATGGCTTTGTTTTGCTTCCACTAGGACTGTTTTGTTTCCAAAAGAAAATAAGTTATGCCTTCACTTTCTCCCTGGAGTCCTGCACCGTGGGTAGGAAAGATGACCAGCTTTGCAGAAAGGACATGCCCATGTCATGAATTAAGCTGAACAAGAGGCTGGATGATTACATGGGGGTGAGACCCAGGTGGGGTTCTCAGAGCCCCTGATGCCATCAGTTGTTTTGAGGCCTCAAGACCTAAGGATGCATAAAATCCTAGTCTTATTGGTAGACTTTTACTAGTCTCTCCTATGTATTGGCAAAAAAAAAAAAAAGGAAAGCCATCTGAGATGTTCTGTTCCTTCTAAAATGCCGTGCAACTGAGCTTTTTGTAATAAAATATTTTATATGTCGTACATTTGGTGCTAAATTACCTTAACAGCTCTTCCAACACTGGCTTGCTTAGGGAGAACACTTAGTATACGCCAGGTGCTGTGCTAAGCACTTCACATATTTAAGCCGGGTATTGGGCTTCCCAGGTGGTGCTAGTGGTAAAGAACCTGCGTGCCAATGCAGGACATGCAAGAGATTCTTCAATCTCTGGGTCGAGAAGATCCCCTGGAGTAGGAAATGGCAACCTGCTCCAATATTCTTGACTGGAAACTTTCATGGAAAGAGGAGCCTGGCAGGCTACAATCTATGTGGCCGAACACCACAGAGCACACACCCACACAAGCCAGGTATTCCTACTGTGGGTTAGTTCATGGAGAATCGGGTTAATTAAGGGGCCCCAGGTCACACCACTAATAAGTGGCAGAACTGGGATTTGAATCTAGGCCCCCAGGGCCTGAGTTCTTCCACAATCTACTGTGCCACTCAGTGGAAAGGGCTCTTTCAGACTTTAAACGAGGACTTGTGTGTCCCAAGAGCTGAGAGTGTCCCTGTCAACCCACATGCCCAGCAGAAAGTTCTGGATATTTAGACTGCAGCTCTCTACCTGTCTAAACGTCCTATGAGAGCTCCTCTCCTGAGAACTGACCCAGATGGGCTGTATGATCATTCAGGGTGCAGGTGTCCTTATAGAAAAGGCAGAGTGCCTACCTGTGGAGCCCAGGAGAGAAATTCAACAAACGAGAACACACAAGGGGACAGTGGACTGCTGAGGCTGGGCTAAACAAGGGGACATCTAGGGTCAGGGTCTTGACCATGGAGTGGGAGTCTGGGAGTCAGATCTAAGTCCAAAGTTCCCTTTCTGGGATGTGATTAAGTCCAGTGGTTAAGACTCCATGCTTCCAACATCAGAGGCATGGGTTCAGTTCCTGGTTGGGGAAGTTCCACATGCCATGTGGCATGGCCAAAAAAACCCACAAAACCGAAAATAAAACAAGTTCCCTTCCTGGTGTTGATGAGCCTGGAGCTGGCTGCTAGGGGTCTGTGTGGCTAGGAGCATGGCTGGGAGAGCAAATTCTCAGGCCCTGAATGTTTTCCTAAAAGAGGGAAGGAGCAACCATTAGAAGGTCAAGCACCTTCTTATAACAGAATTGGCAGCAGTGCCGAAATCCCAACCTTTCATTTCCTCGTGTAAATCCATCTATAAACAGGGAGCTACAAGGGTCTGCTTGGTGGCCTGGGATACCGAGAGGCCTGGTCTGGTCCCAGTCCACCCCTGAGCCACCCAGGGCCTCTCCATGTATCTCTGGGCGGGACTCGCTCTTCATTTACTCCTAATGCTTCCCCCTGATTGGAGGACAAACAGGAGGAAAAATGAAAAGGAAGGAGCAAGGTTCCAAATGAGCTGAGAAATGACCTTCTAGGGACTTCCCTGGTGGTCCAGTGGTTAAGAATCCGCCTCCCAATGGAGGGGACACAGGTTGAATCACCTAGTTGGGGAACTAAGATCCCACATGCCACAGGACAACTAAGCCCATGCATCACCACTACGGAGCCTGCATTCTAGAGCCCATGGTCTGCAACAAGAGAAACCCACGTGCCACAATGAAGATCTAGCACAAGCAAAATAAAAAAAGAAGTGACCTTCTACAAGGGCTCTTGATCTGGTCTCTGGTAGACATCTGTCAGAGGGTCTGCCCAGCCTAGACCCTCCTCAGGAGAGAAAGACGTTTGGGGCTTGCAGTAGGTTGATCTGTGGCCCCAAAGATCTCAGGCTCTAATCCCTAGGACCCAAGAACGTTGCCTTACAAGGTAAAGTTTTGCAGATGCAATGAAACTAAGGATTTTTGAGTTGAGCTTATCCTGGATTGTCCAAGTGGGTCCTAAACCCATCCAGAAGTATGCTTGGAGAGACAGGAGGAGATTATACACACAGGAAAGGAGGAGACAGTAGCCACAGAGGCAGAGACTGGAGTGATGCACCTACAAGTCAAGGGACACCCAGAGCTGGAAGAGACATGGAATCATTCCTTCCTAGAGCACTCACAGGAGTTCAGTCCTCCTGAAACACCTTGATTTCAGCCCAGCTGATGCTGACTTGGGGCTTTCAGCCCCCAGAACCATTAAGAGAGTAAGTTTGTTGTTTTAGACCACAAAGCTCATGGGAATTCATTATAGTGACTTTAGGAAACCAACAAGGGACTCAATCTTCAACTCATTAGAGACTAGCCCTTGCTTTGATCTGAATGCTTCTGGACTGATCCTATAAGGCAGGAGTGCTTTAGAAATTGGGGGCTTCCCAGGTGGCGCACAGTGGTAAAGAATCTGCCTGCCAAAGCAGGAGAAACAAGAGATGTGGCTTTGATCCCAGGGTCGGGAAGAGTCCCCTGGAGAAGGAAATGGCAACTTATTCCAGTATTCTTGCCTGGAAAATTTCATGGGTAGAGGAACCTGATGGGCTACAGTTCATGAGGTTGAAAAAGAGTCGGACATGACTGAGTGCATGCGTACACACACACACACGCGCGCGCGACCGCGCATGGAAATTTCATCAATGACCCTATTTGTTTTGTATGCTTGGAAACGATCAAGTAGAAAATTATTTTATGTTGCTCAGAGAATAGATCGTGGATATTTAGTAGGTAAACTATGGAGCATGGATGCACCTCTGTCTAAAAGCAAGGCAGAGAGAATGTTAGCTAGGAATGTAGCAATAAGTTCTCTGCAATATTAAATTAAAACCAAAGCAGGAAGTCACTTTCACCTCAAAATTCCCCAGGGCACACTCATCCTGTTTGTTCACTGGTTCAGACTTACCAGAGCTCTCTATCTTTTGACTATTAAAGAGCTAAAAAGGTGAAAACCAGAAGAAAGACCCTGGTCCTTCCTTTTCCCTCCATTGTGTTTTTGTTCTTAAGGAAAATATAAGAAAGGCAGGGACTTCCCTGGTGGTCCAATGACCAAGACAGCACGCTCCCAATGCAGGGGACCCAGATTTGATTCCTGGTCAGGAATCTATTAATAGATCCCATATGCTGCAAAAAAAAAAAAAAAAATCCCACATGTTGCAACTAAGAGCCGGTGCAGTCAAATAAATAATCTTTTCTAAAAGAAGAAGAAAGGCAGAGAAGCAGGTCAAGCGGGGAAAGTCAAGAAGCCACCCACCTGTCCTTGGACCCTAACTGGTCCCAGGGCTATGAAAGAGCAAAGAAAATTCCCCATTAGCACTCCCACCCCACCCAAAAGCAAGAATCTCAGCAGCCATGTCATTGTCCTGTGATTTCCACCCTCTCAAGTCACAGCTGGTAGGTGTGTGTTCACCTGACCCAGGAGAACCAATCAGAAGCTGGGCTAGGCTAGGCTCATCTCTCCCAGGTCCTGGAATGGAGAGGCTGGCTGGGCGATGTGGTCTCAGGGATTAGGGGGTCACAAGTGAGTGAAGCAGGGCAAGTTGCTCAGCAGAGAGAGAAGCTGAGTGCTGAAAGAGGCAGAGGTGAAGATGAGACTTCAGAGACAACTGTCTCTCGATGACTCTCTGGTCCTTGGTCCTGGTCCCTTGGTTAGCCCTGCTGTACGTCTGCTCCTGGGTTCCACAAAAGATGCTGTGTCATGCCAGTAAATTCCCCCTTTTAAGCTCTGATCCTAAATTTAGCCCAAGTCCTTGAAGGTGGGCACTGCCTTTGCATTGTAGGCAGTACTGGTCTCACAGTGGACACTCCACTTGGTCTCGGTTCTGATTTTCACTTTTCTCAGACTGGTTATAGTTCTGATGAAGGGGAGCCACAACCAGATGACAGAGGCAGAAGATCACGTTGGAACATGACTGTAACTGCAGCTCAGAGCACTGCCTGGAGTGTGTGTGTGCACAGCTAAGTCAGCTGGGTGCACCCACAAATACATATCGAGCTCCACAAATACCTTATGAGCCAGGTACCATTCTGGGCTCTGGGGATACAGCATGAAGCCCTGCTCTCCATGGGAAATGTTCTCGCCTGGACAGTGTTTCCCAAAGTGGGTCCCATGGCCTTGGGTGACAATGATCATGCTCACTTTGGACTGGCTACTTGCTCTGGGTATAACAAACTTGAAAACCACCAGGCAGCCAGGTGCACAGAGAACGCTGGTCTGCAAGAAGAGACTCGTGAAAAATGGTCCATAGAAAGAGAGATCAGCTGGTTGGCCTCTCCTGGGTTCTCCTTTGTCTGGCCTCATTCGCTGCCCTTTGGGTCTATAGAATGCCCCAGGCTGCTTTCAGTAAAGTCCTATTTTTGCTGAAATGAGTTGGAGTGGGATCCTGCTGCTTGCTGCCAAATGCACTGAGATACCTTGGTTCCTGGGCTTTCTAGGTGGCTCAGTGGTAAAGAATCTGCCTGCCAATGCAGGAGACACAGGTTCAAACCCTAAGTGGAGAAGATCCCCTGGAGGAGGAAATGGAAACCCACTCCAGGATCCTTGCCTGGGAAATCCCATGGACAGAGGCGCCTAGAGGGCTACAGCCCATGGGGTTGCAAAGAGTCAGACATGATTTAGCGACTGAACGACAACAAAGCCTTGGTTCTAGATGGACACGTGTGAGATGGCAAAGCCAAAATAAACCTGCAAGTGCAGAGCAAAATTGAAAATGCGACACAGCTTTATCCCTGGAAATGCGTGGATCAATCAAACCACAGGCCACAAAGGACAGTACTCAAAGAGCCCTTCTGAGGATTAATGGTCTCATTCTTTGCCTTAAGGGCCCTGACAAGGCCCATTTAGCTCCTAGGAAAAATC